ACAGGCACCCGCCACAACGCCTGGCCATTTTTTTTTTGGTTGCAGCCATCATTGTTGTTTGGCGGGCCCGGGTTGGGGATTCGAACCCGCCACCTTAGGTGTATGTGGCTGGCGCCTTAGCTGCTTGAGCCATAGGCACCGAGCCAGGAGTGATCTTCTAAGGCAGTGGTTCTCAACTTTCCTTCCTCATGCTGTGGTGACCCCCAACCATAAAATTATTTTCATTACTACTTCATAACTGTAATTTTGCTACTGTTATGAATCATAATATACATACCTGATATGCAGGATGTATTTAGGCGACCCCTAGGAAAGGGTTGTTCAACCCCTCAAAGGGTCACGACAAACAGGTTGAGAACTGCTGTTCTAAGGCTGCCCCCAACCCCACCAGAGGCCTTAGAGTGCCACCAGGTTGTCCTGGGAGCCCTGATAAACATGTTTTGTAACTAGATGGAGGTGGTGCTCACACCAGGCAAGTATGTTAAGTTTCAGCCAGGTGTATTTCACATCAGTCTAAAAATAAACTACCCAAGGAATGGGTTTGGGGGCTTCCAAGAGTGGAGAGAGCCTCGCCGGCCACCAGGTGGCGAGAGAGGCTGAGGCCACCAGGAGTAGCAGTCCAGCAGGCCGGGAGCAGGCTGGCCCCTGCAGGCAAAGCCCACTGGACAGCTTAGGTGTGATGCACTGATCCTCACACTATTGGTGTTTTTCCCCAATGGTGGCAAGGTCTGTGTGTGATCCTGGCTGGGGGAGTGTCTTCCTCCCATTCTATTGGTGCCTCTTGGGCCTGTGGGTCCCTGGTGACCCCCAGGACCAGACAATACTGCCCACTTAGGTCACGGGTATGGCACCTAACATCACATCAGGGCCCTGACCACCAGGAGGCTTGGGGACTTGACATGGGGTGCAGGGCTGGGGAGGGCAGCCATGGACTCTGTCCCCCTCTCTGGCAGAGTGGGCGAGGGCCGGGCATGTTGGAGTCTGGGAAACGCCTATGTGTCCATGGGGAGCCCAGCGCAGGCCCTGACCTTTGCCAAGAAGCACCTGCAAATCTCCCAGGAGGTGAGCCAGTGCCCACCCTCTCTGCCCCAATTATGCCAGGACTATCCTTTCTATCCTTGGCTGTTGCAGCCACTTGGCCACTTGATCCTACAGAGGCCTCTGGCTTCATGTCTGCTGCCCTTAGCTGGGTACCCTCTTGGGAAACTGAGTCTCCTTCTCCTGGAGTGGGCCCTTCCCACCAAGACCCTCCTACTGTGGGGAGGGTTGGGGCATCACATGTGAACTCTGGACCTGCATGGGTTCTGGCCTGTCCTTATGGCACTTCACCTGGCCTGTCCACTGCACCTCTAGGAAGCACCCCCAGTGGCAAGGCCACTGCTACCAGGTACCCCTAGGCCTGTCCGTGTTAAAGATGGATCTGTGTGAGAAGTAACTGGGTGGGCAAGGCTTGCAGGCACCCAGGTGTAGGTGGGGAGGGCCAGGAATGCCCAGGCCAGCAGAGGTCCTTGTCTGGAGACCTCCTCCACCAGGGACCCTGAGGGCAGGCTGCAGCCTCCAATGCATCCAGGGCCCCTTGGGCAGCCGTGCTATGTCCACCATCTCCTCCACTTGACTTGAGTTTGTTCCTGGGCCCGTAGATGCCCTGGGATGGTCCCTCATCAAGCCTCAGAGTACAAGTCCGGAGCTGGCCAGCCAGCCCAAGGCCAGGGCCAGGGCCAGGTTGATGCCCACTGGAGGACCCCATAAGGCACAGGGCCAGCTCCCTCAGGCCCAAGAATTTCTGAGGTGGGACTAAATCTACTGGGGACACAGGAGACACCTTGGGTAGGAATGGAGTCCTGGACTCTACCTTTAGGGCCACAGTGACTCTTGGTTCCTCAGAGGCCCTAGGGTCAGTGGCCAGCCCTGGCAACCCAGTGAGCCAGGCACAGGTGTGCTGTGGACCACGGATGTCCCTTTGGGAGCCCCTAGCAGGGTCCCCCAGCCCCACTTGCCCACTCAACTATGTCCTGCTGGCTGCAGATCGGGGACCGCAACGGGGAACTCACGGCCCGCATGAACGTCGCACAGCTGCAGCTGGCACTCGGCCGCCTGACCAGCCCAGCAGCTGCAGAAAAGCCTGACCTGGCAGGCTACGAGGCCCAGGGTGAGTCGCAGGGATGGGGGTGGGGGAATGCAGTGCCATATGGGTACAAACCTCAGCCTGGGCCATTGCCAGGTCTCATCTGGCTAGGGCATGGTAGGAGGGAAACCTATGGGAGGGGGCAGTAACTCTCCTTGAAGCCCCTCGGACAGTGCCAGCTCCCCTGCATGTGAGTCACAAGGAGGGGGTTCTGTCCCTACAGAGGAGTTAACAGAGGAGCTCAGGAAGGGAAGGGTGACCCTGTCCCTGGGCCTCAGGACACCTTTTCTTCTTAGCCCTTGTGCTGGTCTGGAAGAGAGATTCAGACCCCTGTCTGATGCTCAAGAGCCCCTGGTGGGGCTGGAGGCTGAGCAGATAGACTGCCAGACAGCATATTGAGCAGGGTGAGGGAGCCACAGGATCAGGAGCTGGGAAGGGGCACGGCAGGAATGGGCATCTAGGAGGCAGAGCCAGCAGGGCTCAGCAGCTAGCCCAGATGCTGTTGGAAAGCTCTGTTCTTCATTGTCCTTGGGCAGCAAGGGCCTGTGATTGCCCTGGACCCCTCCCTACCACATCCCTGGTGGGACCACAGACCTATGGTGGAAGGATAAGAGATGGCTGCCCGCTGCCCCCAGCTGTTCTGGCCTCGGGGCAGTCAGCCACACAGCAGCCAGCATCACCACAGAGCTTGGGGCTGCATGGGCTAGGTTGGGGGCTCTAGTCAGACCTGCCCATGGCAGCAATGACGACCTCATTTGTGGGCTGCAGTCAGCCTACACAGGTCAGTGACGCGGAGCACCAAGTACAGGACGTTCCCTGCAGAGCAAATCGGTTAATAAATACGGAGGCCAGGTGGCGGGGCTGGGGGACCAGGCTGGACTGGCTTTTTGAGGTGGCTGCCTGATAGGTGAGGAGCAGGGCCAGGGTCAGCTGCCCTTGCCTGTGGTTCTTGACTTTGCCAGGAATTGAGCCCTAGTCCCCTCATGGCTGTGTACCTCATGGCCCCCCAGAAGGGAAGCAGGCTGCTGGGAGAGCATCTGGTACCCCCAGGTTGCTGGGTCCTGGACATGGTGGGGAGGGTTATGGGTTCTGATGATGACCAGGCTTGGGAAATTGGGGACACCTGATACCACTCCCAAAAGGCTGAGGACAGAGGGGAAAGGGCAGAGGCTTCTGAGGCCCTCAGCCAGCCCATGTGCCAGGGTGCTATGGCCCATGGGACCAGTGGGCAAGGGCTGGCCTGAGAGTAGGCCTCAGCCCCTCAATGTATGGGCTGGAGTCTATCCATGGCCAGCCAGGTTTCCTGTGGTGGGTAGCCCTGTCGAGAGCTCCCCTCTCACCCTGGGCACCCTTCTCAACCCTGCAGCTGGGAGGGGGAGGACTGGCCAGGGCCCCTGGAAAGGCTCCCACAAAGGCAGCCCAGCTCCGGGTCCTCCTGCCAAAGAAAAGGGGGGCCGTCGTGGGTGAACAGTCGCGGACAAGGCAGCTTCTGTCCCTCTCCAGGCCCTCTGCCGGTCCCGCGGGCCAGACCTTTCCAGCCAGGGGCCCCCGGAAACCTCGCCCGACTGGCTGCCTGTGGCCGGCCGTAGGACGCGGAGGAAACGCCCTCCTCCCGGGCAGTGTGCAGGCGGGTCTGGGGGCCTCCGCAGCCCTGCCACTCGGCCTGGGGGGCTCCTGCCTGGGATGCAGCTGCGCCCTGCGAGCCCGGGTGGCCCTGGGGGAGATCCCTGCTCAGGTGAGGAGGAGGGGGACACCAGCATTCGTCCCCCGCCTTCATTTCGCGGCTGTGCCCGGGACTGTGCGGTGGGGGTGCGGTGGGAGGGCAGGTGCATGTCCAGAGCCTGTCCCCCCATGGCTGGGTCGCACGGGGTCTGGTGGGCACGGAGTTGGACCGGCAAGGAGGCGGAGGGGCGGCATTCCAGGGGGGCGTGGCAGAGTGGGCACCGGCCTGGCTGGTGGGGTGGACGTGGCCTTTGTGAACGCAGCGTGTGGTATTGAAAAAGGCGTGGTCAGGCGGGTGATGGGGCGTGGCCTTGTGCTGAGTGGGCAGGTCCTGTTTGTGGGCAAGGCGGTAGCTGGATTGGCTTGAGGGCTGGGGTAAGACTGGGCCAACCAGACTCAGTTTTCCTTTCCTGTCTTGCAAAAATAAGGGGACTTTTATGCACCTGGAGGACAAAGAGCCCTGCTGCGGTTCAGTCTGTTAATCTCACCACCCTCTGCTGGCCCCTCCAGCTAGCAGAGGCCCGAGGGAGGCAGCTCCTCCAGCTGCTGCCCCGCCCCCATCTTCTGAGTCCAGGCTCAGGGGTGCAGGGAGCCAGCATGTTCCATATGAAAGAGGTGGAGGGAGCTGCCCCGCGTTCTGCCTTCACCCACTGCCCCTGCCCTGTCTCCAGCCAGGGCCTGACTGCCCCCTGGCACACAGGGTATGTGACTGCCCTCAGTGCAGTCCCTCACCTTCTGGGCCCTGCCGTCACCCTCCCTGGGAGAAGTCCTCTGAATGTCCCATTTGGTCATCTCAGAGGGTTAGGAGTGTGCATGGCATGATGTTCAAGAGGCAGTTTAGGCTGCAGGCTGTGGCCCTGGCTTCACCATGCCTTGGCCAGTGGACCAAGTGACCTGACCTACCTGTGCCTCATCTGGGAAACAGGCCTACCAGTAGTCCTGGGGACAGCACTGTGCAGGGACGAGAGGGCTGTGAGCCCAAAAGCCCACGGGGCCGTTATACTCATGGCCTGGGTGGGCACTAAAGGCCTGGACATGGCACTGTCATCCCGTGTGAACAGCACATGGCCTGCAGCCTGAGGACATTAGCCTGGGCATGCACCTCCCTGTCCTGATGTCTGTGCCCCCTGGAGCTCCCCTTGCTCATTCAGATGATACATGCCTGCATGTCCTACCTCCAGCCCTGCTCCCTCCAGAGCTTGGTCAGGTTCCTGACACTCCCTGCCCTGCACTCGGTGGGTGGCAGCAGGAACCTCCTTGGTCTGGGAAGGGTGGAAGGGACAGTGCATAGGAACCTGCTCACAGTGCCCCCTCATGCTCAGTAAGTACCAGCTACTTGTACCACAACACTTACGAAGCACATGCTGTATACCAAGGGCTATCTGAGTGCGTGAGGTACATCAGCAAACAAAACCGTGGCAGAGTGGGACTCCAGCAGGCTAGATGGAAACAAATTGTGTGTATGAGACACAGGAGCATGTGCATGGGGAGAGAGGAATGGGGGCGTGGTAAGGTGGAGGGGTGCAGCAGTCCCTACAGCAGCAGGTGGGCTTTAGGAAGGGGCTCTCTTCTTCCAGGGCAGCTACCAAAGCACCAGATGGGGTGGCTCTAACAAGCCATTCTCACAGTCTGGGGTCTGGGAGTCCAAGGTCAGGGTGCCAGCATGGTCCAGGTCTGGTGAAGATCCTTTCCTGGCTTGCAGACAGCCACTTTCTTGCTGTGTCCTCTTGTGGTGGAGTGACAGAGAAAGAAAGAGAAAAGAAGGGAGGGAGTTTGCAAACTCCCTGGTGTCTTCTGGTAAGGGCACTAATCATCATGGGGCGCCATCCTCAGGACCTCACCTGAACCTATTCACTTTCTGACGCTATCACATCAGCTGTTTGGACTTTAACAAGGATTTTAACAGGACACAAATGCTGGGCTCACAAACAGGGACATTTGAAAGAGTGAGCCACGGGCCAGAGGAGCAGTGTCCCGGCAGCAGTGACAGCCATGCAAAGTCCCTGAGGCAGGACAAGCCTGGCAGGTGGAGAGGCAATGCAAGGCTGTGTCTGCAGCTGGCAGAGCCAGGAACAAGACCTAGGCAGGTCCTCATGTCCCTGGCCCCCATGTGGGGAAGGGACTTAGGACAGGTAGAGGAGAAGGCAGGCGAGAAGCAGGTGACCCAGGTCCCCATGGGGGGGGAAGGGGCTGGACTCTGGGTCTGTTGTGAAGGGGAGTGCCTGGACTCAGCAGTGAGAAGTGGAGATGAACGTGGGGGCAGCTTAAGCTCAGGGCAAGGCAGGTGCTACCCATGTGAGGCAGAGCAGGACTGCACTGAGATGCTGGGTGGGCTGGAGTTGTCTATTGGTTCTCAGATGTAAATGTCTGGAGCTGGCTGAGGCTAGAAATGATGACCATGTGATGGTCATACTCAGGTAGAGGTGGGGCAGTGCTGGGAGAAGTTTCTAGAGCATGCCCTTGTAGGAGGCTGAGACAGGAAGCCAAGCTCCACTCAACACAGAGGGTGCATTCAGCAGGGCCCCAGGGCGTTCCACCCACAGCCAATGCCCCGCCCCGGAGCACACTCAAGCATGTCTCAGAAGGGCACTTCAGCCCCAGCCAGGCCAGTGTGGCAGTGGAAGGCCAGTCTGGCCAGAAGCAGTGAGGGGACCAGGCCCCTGGGGCAGCAGAAAGAAAGGCCCTCTGGCCGTGAGAGGCCACTGGGCACGGTGAGTGAAGGGCCTGCCTGCTTTGCAGGAGTGCTTGGCGCTGCTTCCCTATTATTTCTGGGTGTATGCAGGGAAAGGTGCTGCCAGTACCCCCAAATTCCATGTGGTTTTATAATGACCCCATTTCTTCTTTAGACCTGCCTTCCCACTCCAGGGTGGGGCTGGGCAGTGGGCAGCCCTTCAGAGAACAGGACCTCCTTCCCAGCCCTGTCCTGTCCTGCCCAGGCTGTATGGCCCACTAACCTCTTGCTGCCTGGCCTCATCCCTGCTGGCCCATCTGATGGCAGAGAACACCAAGGGTCTACGTCTGCTGCCCTGGTGGCACCAATATTGGGTTCTCGGAGTGTCCCCTGAGACCAGGACACGTTCAACCCACCACCTTCAGTGGATGCCCACTGTCTGATGGGCGCTCCCTGGCAGTTGGTGCCCAGTGCGTGTTTGGGTGCTGTCAGGCCAGGAGAGGAGGGCCCGGTCTTCCAGAGGGCAGTGGCTCTCTGGAGATGAACCAGGGTCCTGGTGGCAGGACAGATGCAGAGTCCTTACTAGCTAGATCTGTCCTTTGGGCCCCCTCTCTGCCCAGAATATTCTGCCACCTTTTCTATGCTGCCTGCACTCCTCTCCCTCTCAGGCACCTCCCCAGAAAGGCCCCTGCAGCCCCTCTGGCTCGGCCAGCCAGGCCCTCGGCCCCTCTCACAGACTGGTGCTCATACCTCTGGTTCTGTCTGTCCTGTCTGGTGTTTGTTGCCTTGTTTTTGGTCTGGCTGCCAGGCCAATTCTCCCCCTCATTTGCCCAGGAAGTAGCTGGGCTAAGGCCAGACCTCTCCCAAACTCTCAGCTCAGAAGCCTCCCCCATCAGAGCAGGATCATCACCTGGGGGCCCCTGAACTGTACCCTGCCTCCACCCAGGGACACCTTTTGGGTAGATGTTTGGAGTAGGCTCAGCTGCAGAGCTGCTCAGGGACCCTAGGGCAGGGCCCTTTGGCTCTCCTCAGTCTGGGGAGATGGGATCCCTGGACCAAGAGGGATGGACAGGAGTCCAGGGGAAGGTGTTGCAGTGGAGCTGACCAGGAGGGCTCATCTGGAGGCCTCAGCTTGAACTGTCAGCTTGGACTGTCCCTACCCAGGATATTACATGAAGAGGCCCTATCCCCCTGGGGTAAGGGATCGGGGTAGCTTCACAGAGGTGGTGGCAGCTGAGCCCATAGGCTGTATGGCTGGCAGGAGACACTTAGCTTGGCTGGGAAGAGAGCCCTGTCCAGAACCAGGCCTTTCCAGGCCTGAGGGACACCATGGGCAGACCCTACCTGGCACCACACAGAGTCTGCCCATCTCAACGCCCCCTTCCTTCTTCTGGCCTGTCTGGCTGACACAGAGGACACTGGGACACAGTCCTTGCCTCCATGTGGGTGGCTGGGCAGTCAAAAAGTTTATCACTAGGCCCCAGGTAGCTGCTGGGCTGACCAGCCCTGCTGTCTTCCAGGGGCTAGACCCAAGAGGACACAGAGGCTGAGTGCAGAGACCTGGGACCTGCTGAGGCTCCCCCTGGAGCGGGTGAGTGGGGGCCATATGGGGGCAGGTGTCAGTGTAGGCACTCCAGAGTGTGGGCAGTGGGTAATGAGGTTGGGTGTTGTGTTTGCTGTGCTGCCACTGCCTGCCTTGGCCTCTTCCCTGCCCACGTGCCCTGCCATTGGGAGATAAATGTGCACTCAGCAGCCTGAGGGCCTGGATGGGCCCATCTGCCACCCACCCCCCCGTGGCCTATTGTCCCCCAGCACATCTCTTCACCTGCTGGTAGCTGGGCCCCAAGGGGGCAGAGATGGCCCTTACACTTTGCAGACCCCATGCCCACACCCAGTTACTATGCCACCAGTGTTTTGGGGAACCCATAGCTGGGATGCCCTCTCCTGGCTTCTCCCTGCCCATTCAGACTTTGTACCCAAAGGGGAAGTAGGGCTGCTTCAGGTCAAGGTGCTTCTAGGGCTCCACAAACCCAGGCAGAGGACAGATTCAGGGGCTCGGTGGGGTTGGGGCCCTGGGCTGGCTCTGTACCTGGCATGCGTGGGTACTACATGACCCTGGGGCAGTGGCCTAACCTCTCTGAGCCTCTGGTTCTTCTACTGTTGCCTGGTCAGTTATAAAAGCTGTCAGGGGTCACTGTCCTTGCCCAGTGTGAAAAAGCTGACAGCTGGGGACAGCTTGCTCCACCTCTTCCCGCCCTGGCCAGAGTCACTCACATCCCACAGGCCATTGTTCCCCCTCCCCCAGGAAGTAGGCATCTACTGTATGTATCTAGGAGATGGGGGGCAGCTGCACCTGCCCACCTTCCCTTAGGGACCTGGGAGAGGGAACCCATGCCATATACCAGTTCCCCCTTCCCAGGAGCAGAATGGAGACAGCCACCATGCAGGGGACTGGCGGGGGCCCAGCAGGGACTCGCTCCCCCTCCCCATGAGAAGCAGGAAGTACCAGGAAGGTCCTGACACCACTGAGAGGAGGCCCCAGGAGGGCAGCCACTCCCCGCTGGACAGCGCAGATGTCCGGGTTCAGGTACCTCGCACGGTAGGTGCCTCTGCTGGCAGAATCAGGCTAGAAGGGAGACAAGCGTGGGGACTGCACGGCATCCCTCCCCCTCTGCAGCCTGTCTAGTGGGGGGCCAGACCGGCCATCACTCCAGGGAGGCAGGGGTCCCTAGCGGGCTATGCATCCCCTGGGACCCCAGAGAGTGCTCAGTGTCCAGGGGGCTCAATACAGGGGCAGTGTGTTCACAGTCGCTGGCAGCACCCTCTGGGAGGCCAGGCCATCAGGGTCAGGGTAGGCCTCAGTTTCCTTCTCCCTGGGCCTCAGTTTCCATCTTTATCCTCAGTTGGGAGCTGTTCTTTCCAGTCTGTCGCCAGCAGCTGGAACCCTCCCAACCCATCCCTGTAAGGGACCTGCCTGCCCAGACAGCGCACCCTGGGGAGACTCTCTTGGAGGCGCCATCCTGCTGAGAGGCCAGAGTTAGTTGTCAGGAGTCCTGGCCAATGGTGTTGATCCTGCTGGTCCCCTGGCAGGAGCCCCTGAAAAGGGGACAAAGCTAACACAATCCTGGGAGGTTTTGGACTTCCTGACACCTCCTGGGGGTCTCAGAGCTTAGGACTGGGCCCTTGAGCAGAGGGACTTGAAGGGTGTCAAGGGCAGGTGGGGAGCCCCATGCCCACAGGTCAGGCCTTGTCATAGAGGACTTGGGGGTGCTGCACCTTCAGCCAGGCAGCAGTGTTGGGGGGTCTCTTCTTGTCTTTTTCAGGGACTGAGGGCAGGGCAGGAGGGACACATGCTGGGGTGGCCGGTGCCAGCTACAGAGCTCTCTGGTGGAGGGATGGAGAGCTGGGGTCCAGCAGGGCTCCTCACAGTCAGGAGCTAGCATACCCCACCCCAGTCCACCCACGCTCGGGGTCCCCAGGGTCTTGGATTGGAGGCCTTGTTGGGGTGAGGGAGGCAATTGCCCAGCAGGTGTTCATCATAGCCCAGGGGCCACTCAGGTCCCCAGACTGGCCAGGAACCCCTTCCTGGGGCACAGTCATCTCCCAGTGCAATATTCAGAGGTAGAGAGATGGATGGGGGGTGGTGCTGATGGCTGAGCATGTGGGTAGATGACTGAATGGGGTTGAGACTGGTGGTTAGGCAGATGGATGGGCTGGGAATGGGGGATGGGCTGGGGGTCCCGCTGTGCCAGGGCCTGGTCTGGACACTTCAGGGACACGGAGAAGCCAAGTCCAGCTTCAGAGGTCAGCCTGGCACCCCCTGAGCAGGATGCCTGGTTTCAAACCCCCACAAATTAGTCTAAAAATAATTCCTGGCTCGGCGCCTGTGGCTCAATCGGCTAAGGCACCAGCCACATACACCTAAGGTGGCGGGTTATAATCCCCAGCCAGGGGCCCGCAAAACAACAATGATGGCTGCAACCAAAAAAAAAAAATGGCCGGTGCTGTGGCGGGCGCCTGTAGT